AAAAGAAGAAAACAAAAATAGTGTGATTTTCTGCTGAGCGTTTTATTGTCTCAGAGCAGAGTTCATTTTCCTATAAGTGAAGCTAAATAGTAGCAATATAGCATTGTTTCTGTTATTTCCATTGAGGTTCTGTAGCAGTATTGTTCATGGTTTAGGGGAGAAAAAACCTGTTTAGGAGTCCCTCTCCTTTAAGAATTCTAAGATGAGAAATTGGTTTGTATTACTGATTTTTCCCCTTCTTTATTATATGCCAATGAAAAGTGTGTGTGTGTGTGTGTATGTGTGTATGTGTATGTGTGTGTGTGTGTGTGTGTGTGTGTGTGTGTATAGTAGATACCTTATCATAGTCTGGTTTGCCCAGATAATTCTAACCAGAGTACCTGTTCTGGCATTTCCATGGGTTAGGGTAGGGGAAGCCTAGTTAAGAATTGTGTCAGTTTGTCTGTCAGTGTCAGAGACAGAGAGAGAGAAAGAGAGAGACAGAGAGAGAGAAAGAGAGAGCGTGCACCAGAGAGCAGGCTTGCAAGATGGTGGGAGGTAGTAATTCAAACCTTAGGATTAGTCATCAGGAATCTTGATTCTTTTCTTGTGCATTTTAGGTTTAAATAACTATCCCAAGGTCACCAGTGTAATCTGAATGAAGAGATTTTTTTTTTTAATGTCTCCATCTGTGAAAGTTGTGGTGAAAACGATTTGTGGGTACGAAATGCTATTAGTTACTTTTATTACCTTATTTATTTATGTAGTGTTAAAGCCCATTTGCTTGTAAGAGTGTCAGGCATACAGTTTGAATGCTGGAGAAATTAATTACACTTCTCCTGTAGTTCTGAAGTGTGGGACTTTAAAGGATTCTTAGACATATTGATATATATTTCATCTTTGAACCAATTTGTTGCTGTTAATGAGATCATTATCTGAGACTTTCAGACTTGGCTGTGCAACTCACATGGTTGGTGATGTTAAATAAAGGCCCGATTAAACACTGGCTAGTCATATGTGAATTGGTTAAACAAACAAAGAAAATTTGCATTGCTAGAGATGAAAGATTGTTTTAAGGTGGAAATGCGTTTTTTTTTTGTTTTGTTTTGTTTTTGCTTGAAGTCAAATATTTAGAAAGGCTTGAGAAATTCATTTGTAGAAGGAATCTGAATGATAGTTTCTGTGTAACTTTAAATTCAGCCTTCCTGGATCATAGGTTAAATGTTGAATGGACTTGAAAACAGAGGGAAGCTGAGGACATTTAAGAACTAAGTCAGTTCCTTTAGCTATTAGGGGTGGGAAGAGAGCTGGGTGGTGGGTTAAAAAGGCTGATCAAGGTCCTTAAATATCCAATGTTAAGTAAAGGTATCACAGAGAGTAATTTTAGGAAACTATTTCCTCTGCTTTGTTTTCCTGTCAGTGTGTTTCTGCAGTTAAGCATTTGATCAAACACTTTCTTTTCATCTCCATTTTAAGTTAACAGGCCTGCCTCTAAAAATTGACTTGGTCTAATAGAACAATTGTGTGCTGACAGCTGACCTGGATTTACACAGAAAGGGATTGCCCACTGTCTTCTCAGATGGGCCTTCATAGGTTTAAACCAAGCATTTGATACAGGGGGAAAAATTGGGGCTATATTTTGTGACATTATAAATTCTTAGAGCCTCTTATTTTCTGTTTTGTTCCTTGAGATCTCATGGGAGTTATTAGTACAATTCTGAATAGGGATGAAGATGGGAGTGGGAGTTCAGTGTAGAGCTGTAGACTAAAGGGAAGGCAGTGATGCTTTCCTCCTATGTATACGGAGGAAACCATCAAGCATGTTATGTTTTGGTTCATCTCATCCTGGCATTAACATACAATTAGCAACTATTGTTAATCCATTTTACAGAGGAGAAAAACTGAGGCTGAGAGAAGCAAGTTGACTTCTCTGACTTCACAGCTAGCAATGACAAAACCTGGATTGATTGAAACCCAGGTCTGCCTGGCCTGCTTGTTCTTGTTTTTGCCAAATAAATATAACTTGGCCAGTTAGGATTTTGACATTAATTCAAGTCTTGTTTTTAACAACATAATATAGGGGTTCTTAACCGGAGGTTCACAGACTCAGAGATAGTCTATGAACCTCTGCAAGTGTATGCATATTC